TTAAAAGACTTCAGCTTGTGACGGTTAATCCTGTTAAGAATACAAGAGAAACAGGCAGAAAAGGGAAAGGGAAGGGGGGAGGGAAAAAAAAAAAAAGTGTGAGTCGCCGTATGCCCCCCCGTCAAAAGGAAAAAAAAAAAAAAAGGAAGAAGACACGTTGCAGGCCACACGACAACAACAACAAAAAAAACATGCTGATAATTTTTTTTTTTAAGGCCAAACAGAGAGAGAAAGAGAGAAGAAGAAAAAAAAAAAAAAATGACGCACAACACACATCCCATCATGCATGCATTTATTCCTTTCTTTTTTTTTTTTTATTTGTTTTTTTATTTCTCTTTTCCTTTTTTTTTCCCCCCCCCCCCCTTTTTTTGTTGTTTAACAAAACGATACAAAATTTAAAAAAAAATTTGGTACCGCCTCGCTTCCTTAAGGGCAATGTGAAAAAACAGTTCCAATTTTTTTTCTTTTTTTCCCCCCCCCCAAATACGGCGCATCAAATCGGGAGTTATAAATTCCTACTGTGAGCCTGTGCAATGCATGCGTGGGGGTTTCTGCTGGTGAAATGTACGTGAGAAGGCAATTCATTTATTTCCTTTTCTTTTTCCCTCTTTTCATTCTGTTTCCTCTCCGCCCTTTCTTTTCATGCACGCATGCAACACAAATATATTCATTTTCTCCCTTTTTTTTTTCTTTCTTTTCTGTCTCCTCCCTTCCTTAACGGCCTCAGTAGGCAGAGACGGCTGTCATGGTGTGCGCCATCAGCTCCTCCATTCCCTCCTCCAGCGCCTCGGCAAGCTTGTTGCCGTACTCCCACAACTCGTCCGTGAGGGAGGCCACGTCGATACGCTCTGCCTGCTGCGGTAAAGGAACAATCCACTCGTACTCCAGCCGCTCGCCCTCGTCGCCGGCCCTTGTGATGATGAGGGGCGTGCGCTTCGTTTCAACGAGCTGCAAAGTGGCGCCTGTCGCCGTGCGCATGGCCCACTTTCGAATGACACGCTCACAGCAGTACACGACATCACCCAACTCTGGTGAGAGCACCGACTGAACGGATTCTCGTGTGCTGCGAAGGATATCCGCCTCCAAGTAGGCATCCGACACACGCTTCTTGATTGGGTGCCGCGCTCGCACAGTATACCGCAGGTCGGGCATTTTGCTACGAACGTAGTGCGAGACCAAAAATCGATCCCACGGCTTATTCAGCATGGTGCACTTCAGCTGTCCGTTTAACTCACAATCAAAAAACTCATTCATACGCCGAATGTTCACTTTGTAGCTCGTTGTAGGCTCCTGCACAAGTGTCATACCGAGCTTGGCGGCAAGACCTTCCATGGCCGCTACATTGGATTCACTGGCAATGGCAAACCACGCATATGGATGTTGCGCGTACAGATGCTTTTGAAGCGTCCAAAGCGGCATGACATTGCGGTTTTGTTTTGCCACCTGACGGTAATAAAGCACCTTTCCAGCACCAATGTTTAATTCTCCTGGCATGTTCATATTCCAAATGTTCATTAGGCACCACT